TTAAAAAATTAAAAAGTTGTCCAGTGGCACCTTAGAGACCAACTAAGTTTATGGGTCTGGTGACTTCTGTTTCAGTGTATATGAAGAAAGTGTGCATGCACACGAAAGCTTATACCCAGAACAAACTTAGTTGGTCTCTAAGGTGCTACTGGACAATTTTTTAATTTTTTAATTTATTTAGAAAATGTTATAGGCAGTGCTTTTTCTGGGGGTACGCAGGGGTACGCATACGCCTAAACATTTTGTGAATCTAAGTTGGGCCTCATTGAGGGGCAGTATTTCAATATGAGTAGGAAAATGGGAGTACCCCTAAACATTTTTTTTAAAGAAAATAGCACTGTTTATAGGAATGCATCACTCTTTTTAATAGGTATCTCAAGTGCTGAGTGCTAATAGGATTAGAGTCAAAACAACCATTGAGGAATAAGAGAGAGAGATCAGCATACTTGGGAACATTCTAAGTTTTGCAGAAGTATAAATAAAATTTTAAAACAAAAACTAAGGGCTGAAAAAAGGCCTATGACAACTAAGCATGCTTTGCAGTCATGACCGTCAGTTGGGGAAAAGTTTCTGTAAGATGTACAATCACTTCCTCAGTTGAAAATATTTTATTGAAGCATCAAAATGCTTAATCTATTAATTCATATGCATAAAATAAAAGGTGTATTCTTGCTCTTAAGAAACTGCATGACGTAATACCACTAGATGGAGCTGTAGATATTTGAGCAAGGCTGTTCTTTTGCACAGTGGCAATATTTCCCCCTTCAGAAAAGCTCCTGGGTGATATGTCAGGGGCCTTCAAATGTGCTTGTGTCAGCCACCCAAACTCCGCTTACCAACCGCATCCAAAATAAACTACAGAAAACCCTTGTAGTCCCCAGTGTGCAGAGAAGGAGAGTGCCAAGTTTGAATAGGTAATAGGGATTCTCATAAATTAGTAATCAGCCCTGGTACAAGGGTGTTTCAAAATAAATTAGGTTATAGATTTCCAGCTCTCAGACTGACACTGTAACTACAGTGCGGCTGGGAGAGTGCAGGTTTCTGTTGCAGCATCAATGCATTTTACATGTGGAGGATATAGCAGTAATCCGATCAACGGCAATTGCCACAATACCAGACGGATCCCTAAAAATAGAAGCCCCATGGTAATCTGTCTGGATTACTGAATTCAATGAGTACTTGGTGACAAATCAGGAAAATACTCAGTTAACAGGATTTGGATACATACATAATGTTGTATTTGCATTCAAGGAGATGTGCAACTTCTCCTGTCTTCAGTGCCACGGAATGTGTGTGTGTACACTGTGTGTGTGTATTATATTATACAACTATTTGACATTTAGAAGACATCTGAAGGCAGCCCTGTTTAGGGAAGTTTTTAATGACTGATGTTTTAATGTATTTTTAATCTTTGTTGGAAGCAGCCCAGAGTGGCTGGGGAAACCCAGCCAGATGGGCGGGGTATAAAAAATAAGTTGTTGTTGTTGTTGTTGTTGTTGTTGTTGTTGTATATTGCAATACTCCTTTCTGGCTTTTCCCTAAAGCAAAAATCAGAAAGGCTTTTAAGTTGTGGTCTTGTATCTCTTGTATCTTAATTGTTCACTAACCCAATTGTTCACTAACCCATTTTCCTGGTATTATGATCTATCCTGTTCAGTTCAACCTCAGGAATTATCTGGGTTTAAGCTATTTTGGCACTCAAGTGCATGGCTGGGCCATGGACAATATGGGCTATTAAACGGCTTTTGGTGATGGGAATGAATTTGGAGGAAAATTTATTTTTTAAAATGTATAGACTGCTTCACAACTTAAAGCCTTTGAAGTGGTGTACAAGATAAAACACAAAGAAACACAAGTTCTAAAAACAATAAAATCCGTTCAACAAACTTAAATAATAAGCCCAGGGAGTCCTGCTGTGGAAGTCCAGGCAGCTGCCTTCACTGGCCGTGCCCAGAATGTGGCCATTGGTGCTGCAGGGCAAGCAGAGAATTGAATGGCAGTAGTTACGACAAAAGATGAGCCATGGAGCCGCTGTTGCCACTAGTATTAAAGTGACTTTTAACTTGTTTCCAAATCCTATAACTCTTTATGAAGAGAGAAAGTGTTTACCAATCTCACTATGGAAATCTCATGTATTTGACTGGTGAACTGCTTGTGCTTTTCAGCGTTGTTCTTTCCATGATGAAAATCACAGATGTCATCTACTCCCCACTCCAGCACATTCCTCCCACCTCTTTGAAAATCAAATTATAGTTCTGGCAGCAATAGGAAGTGGTCAAATCAGTAATGGGAGGAAAGTATGTGGATGACTTCAGTGAATGATGAGTTGGCTGTAAGGATCTTTCCCTCATGCTCTTGATTGAAAGATGGTTGATTGTAATGATTGTTTGAGAGATTTTGTATTGGGAGAACTGCCCAAATCTGTATTGTCTGAGGTCTCAAAGGTTTATCAGAAACACTGATTAGGAGCCACAGCTCAGGCCATCCATAATTGGGGGGATCCCATGCCCTAACATTGGAATGATTATTTTGTGTTCACACCCACCACCCCATCTTGATTCAATGTGTTCTGTACTGTCGTATCAATCCTTTTCTTTGTCTGAGTTTACTTCATAGAGAACACTATGGCTTCCTGAATTGCTCTGGATGGGTGAGCCAATTGTGTCTCGTGAGTCCTGTGTGGCTTCTGGGGAGCACAAACATGACTCCAGAGCAACAATTCTGTTTAATTCTGAAACAGAATTAAAATACAGTCCTAAGCACTGATGGAGTCTAGGGCCGGGTGAATCTGTCTGGTTTGCTTCCTCTCATTTTCTAGTCTTAAGTCTGGTTCTCTACATTTTCGCATTGGAGGTGCCAGCTTCTCTGGAGGATTGAGGGGGCCCACACAACATCAGGATGTTGGGCGTGGGGCTCTCTGAACATTGAGGAGGCTCGGCCCCCTCAAAGAAAGTTTGGGGGACCCACAGTGCCTTGGCCCCCAGGAGCTGGCACCCTTGGTTTGGATTTTTTTTAAGTGCTCATGGAAATTCATCAGCATTTACCTGTGAATTTCTCTTAATAAACATATTTGTATGAAATTTTGCCTCACAATCACGTTTTTGCAAAGTAGTGTTTCCCATTTTTTTGCATGTTACTGTCACTGTATTTTATACACACTTTACCTGAGTATATGCATTTTTGTAGATGTCCCTTGTCTGGAGAACTACATTGTAAAGTTTGGAGAAGTATGACTTTCAAAGGATGGTGGTATTTGAGGTCACATGCTGTTTGGGAAAATGCAAACTGGATTGATTCACATTTAAATATGAACTGAATTGAATATCTCTCCCATCCTTAATGGAGCTGAGGGCAGGGGAAGGAAACTGCAAATAGATTTTTGTAAAGTGACATGGGTTTCTGGATCCTGATTGTTTTAACAATAGCAACAACTGTGGAAATGAATAAATCTAACCAGAAGTTATCTCTTGCTTGTGAACTCAAGTTTAATTTTGGTAGAGAAAATGATTTATTAGGCTCAGAGGCACCCTGTGCTTTAAGTCTGTCTTTTAACAGAAGGCTTTCTGGTTGGTACTGTAGATCTTGTGGTTCTAGCAAAAGGAAGGAAGGAAGGAAGGAAGCTACCCACTCCGGCCTAGAGTCATATCTGAGGCAATCCAAGACCTCTCTTTCCTTAATAATGTGGGAGAATATGCAGCAGTGACACAGGAAGCATCAGCATCAGGTGCCAGCGGAGGCTCATTGGAATTTTTATTATTAGTAACAACATATAAAACATTAAAATATACTAAAAACGAGCAATTCCCAGGACTAAAGCTCAGTAGCAAATAGTAAAGAAGTAAAAAAAATTGTGAGATCAGTAAAACTATACAACACATTCAAAATGCAAGGGATTCAAAAGTTCACATTATTAAAAATCTGGGGAAATGGACATGTCTTCTGTAGTTGTCATCTGTCGCACCCTGCCTGGTGGAGGCCCCCATCAAGGAGGACCTCTGGAGGTCATCTCAGGGTCCCCAAAAATCATTCAGATCATCTGGTCCCAAACATTTCAATTGGACCTGGAAATGGCCTGGACACTGGTGCAGAGGATAAATCACTGGCAGAATATTATCGAATTTTGGAGACACCATTAACAGTTTTACCACACTATTGTGGGCCACTCAAAGTTTCTGAGCCGTTTTATAGAACAGTCACGTGTATGATGAATTGCAGTAGTCAAAGCAGGAGGTTAGCAGAGCCCAGGTAACTGAGGCAAGACTGGCTGCATCAGCACTAAGGAGAGATCATCCAGTCAAAGGTTTCTGCAGAGGGAAAAGGGAGAGTATCAGGGTGGTGGTGACAGAAGTATTGCCCCCGTCCCCCAATTTGTGTTCCATGCTAGGGTCTCATGTTCAAATATATGATATAAGAAGAAATTTTCCTTCTCTTAGCAACTGTCCTTGATCAGGCTGTATGAGGAAAAGGGCTTCCAGGTGAGTTCTTTTAATTTTTAATCTGCTGCTGAGGGTATATCGTTGGCTGTCATCCTTTGTTTTCAGATCTACTAGCATAAAGAATTTAGATAAAATGGCTTATATGTAACTGGGGGGGGGGGGTGATAATCTGCAGCAGGGGCCGCCAGACACTGAGCTTTCCTTTTTCCTTTCCTTTCCTTTCCTTTTTTTTTTTTTTTTGAAGCAAGTCTGTAGACCTCCAAAAAGAAAGTTATGGGACAAAATGTGTAGGCTGTGTGTTTTCCCTGGTACTGAGGAATGCTCCCTGTTGCTTTCAAACACCAACAGCATCGGTGTTTTTGTAAAATTGATATGATGTGATTTCTGCAATCAGGACCAGCAGGACATAGCTGACTTCCCATGATAAGCATAAGGTTGGGGGGTGGGGAGAAGAGCTGTCTCTTTTGTGTTATGCTGTGCTCCCATGGCGGTCAAATGCCCCAGCACTTTCTCAAAATTCAGAATGTATCCACTAGTCCAAAAAGGTTGGTAATACAGGGAAGGGCTGTAGCTCAGTGGCAGCACATCTGCCTCGCATGCAAAAGGTCCCATGTTCAACCCCTGGCATCTCCAGGCAGGCGACTTGCATGCTTTTTGCTGCTGCTTCCTTTTGCTGCATCCACATGATATCATTGGCATTAAAATGCCAGTATATATCATCTCCCCAGGTTAATCTTTTCCAGGCAAAATTCAATAAGTAAAAAACAAACCCTGTTGCCCATGACCCATTTGCAGGAACTCCACAACTTCTTTGCAAATTAAGCCCCCAGCTGGAAGGACCCTTGGTTACCATAGAATCACAGAATCGTAGGGTTGAAAGGGATCCTGAGGGTCATCTAGTCCCGCAATGCAGGAATCTCAACTACATCATACATGATAGATGGCCATCCAACTTCTGCTAAAAAAGCTCTCCAAGTAATGGGAGTCTTCCACATCTTGTGGGAGTCTGCTCCGCTGTCAAACAGCTCTTACTGTCAGAAAGTTCTTCTTTATGTTTCCGAGCAAAAGTCAAAGTGTTGCTACTGACCTTTAAAGCCCTAAACAGCTTTGGCCCTGCAAGCCTGAAGTAGTGTCTCCACCCCCATTGTGCAGCCCAGACCCTGAGGTCCTCCTCTGAGGGTCTTCTGCTGCGAGAAGCAAGGTTACAGGGAACCAGGCAGAGAGCCTTCTCGGTAGTGGTGCCCACCCTGTGGAACACCCTCCTTTCAGATGTCAAGGAAATAAACAACTATCTGACTTTTAGAATACATCCGAAGGCAACCCTGTATCAGGAAGTTTTTAATGTTTGATGTTTTAGTATGTTCTGATTTATGCTGTGAGCCACCCAGAGTAGCTGGTGGCAATCCAGTCAGATGGGCGGAGTATAAATAATAGATGATGATGATTCAGAATCTCCTTTCTTGTAACTTGAATTCATTGGTTTGGGTCCTAAGCTCCAGAGAAGCAGAAAACAAGCTTGCTCCATCCATCATTTGACAGCCCTTGAGATATTTGAAGATGGGTATCATATCTCCAGGACGTGGGTGGCACTGTGAGTTAAACCACAGAGCCTAGGACTTGCTGATCAGAAGATCTGCGGTTCAAATCCCCGTGACGGGGTGAGCTCCCATTGTCGGTCCCAGCTCCTGCCAACCTAGCAGTTCGAAAGCACGTCAAAGTGCAAGTAGATAAATAGGTACCGCTCCGGCGGGAAGGTAAACGGCGTTTCTGTGCGCTGCTCTGGTTTGCCAGAAGCGGCTTAGTCATGCTGGCCACATGACCCGGAAGCTGTACGCCGGCTCCCTTGGCCAATAAAGCAAGTTGAGCGCCGCAACCCCAGAGTCGGTCACGACTGGACCTAATGGTCAGGGGTCCCTTTACCTTTACCTATCATATCTCCTCTCAGTCTCCACTTTACGAAGCTTAACATATCCGCTTCTCTCAACCGTTCCTCATAAGGCTTGGTTTTCAGACCCTTGGTTGTCCTCATCTGCACACGTTCCAGCTTGTCAGTATCCTTCTTAAATTGTAGCGCCCAGAATTAGACACAGTATTCTAGTTGTGGCCTGACCAAGGCAGAGTAGAGTGGTACTATTACTTCCCATGATCTGGACACCAGGCTTCTGTTGATGCAGCCTAGTAGACCATTAGCTTTTTTTGCAGCTCCATCACAATGTTGATTCATGTTAAGCTTGTAGGCTACTAAGACCCCTAGATCCTTTTCATATGTACTACTGGCAATCTAGGTGTCCCTCATCTTATATTTGTGCATCTGGTTCTTCTATGTCATGAGGGGATTGAAGTGAGAGACTGATGCATGAATATCTGAAGACTGACTGAAGAAGCTAATGGTCCTCCAGACACATATTCACCCCCCACACCCTCAAAAGATAATTAAATGTGCTATTTCCTCATACAAAGTTTTTACTTCCTTTCCTGTCTTTCTTTTTTAAGTCTCTCAAAGAAGATTTGTCTCTCTCGTTTTTGCGGTAGAAAAATATATCTAGATCTTAGATGGGCTGAGGGTAAGAACGGAAGGAAAAGACTTTTGATCCCATGTCAGCACCCAAGATCTGAGATGTTACTAAAAGAACCACACCACATGCCTGAAGAAAATCTCTCTCTCTCTCTCTTTCTCTCTCTCTCTCTCTCTCTCTTGAAAACTTGAAGGAAGCATTGCATCCCATGTGCCATAGACCATCATTTCTGGCCTAAACAGTTTTGCAAGGTTTGGAAACAGTACAGCAACCTGCACACCTTTGCAAGAGAAGAGAAAGTGTAATGAGTGTGGATGCCACCAACAGCCCAATGGATGCTTGGAACTGAGGAGCAGAAGGGACTCCGTTTGACAATGGAATGAGTGGGTTTATGCTCATGGAGGACAAAGCTAGCAGAGGAGCAGAGAGAGTGAGAAGGGGCGTGTGGGCGAAGGAGAAGAACAGATAAATAAGTAGAGGGAAGAAAATGGCACAGTGAGCTCTTCTAGCAGGGGTGAGTCCAGATTAGTTTTGGGGAATAAGGAGATTGCCAAGACCATTATTAGGGGAGCAAGGATTTAATCTGCTATATAAAATGTATATAAAATATAGGATGTATATAAGTCACATTGTGACTGAAAGCCAGGGGAGTGAATGGGGTTGCATGAAAGACTGTGCTGGAATGCCCACTAACTGTCTATGCACTAGAATCAAATGGACATAGGATGCTGTCTTAGGTTCCTCTAGCAATTGGTCTATCTAGCTTGGTACTGTCTACTCTGACTGACAGCAGCTCGCCAGGGTTTCGGACAGGGACTATTCCCAGCCCTGGAGATGCCGGCAAGTGACTCTTGGGCCTTTCTGCATGTGAAGCAGATGCTCTGCCCCTTCCCTTAATGCAGGGGAGCAAGAAGAGCTCTCTGCTTCTGATTTCTCCTCTCTTTGCTTACCCTTGTAAAAGTCCTATGCTACTGTTTGGGGGGCCTTCCTTACATGCAGAGTGAATCTAGCAAACTAGTGTATTTCAGCTGACTGATTTCAGAATGCCCAATCCTGTGCAGCATGGATATACTGCATATACTGGTGTGAGCTCTTCACGATATATTTCTGTTGTGCCCGGGTCAACACAGCACACGCTCATTTGCTTCCATAGCATTAAATCTGGTACTTCTTATTTGTCTAATTAGTAGTTTATCACAGCTAAAGTAACAACCATTGAAGCCTCAAAGAGTTCCCCTTCTGCACCAAAATACTTGGAATTACGGATTCAGCACCATTTGTGATGCCTTGAGCATGACCAGCCCTATTCACCTCTTCACATGCTATACTATACTATGCTATACTACACACAATATGGTATGTTGCCAGGTCAGGTGACTACTCATTTTTCCTTCCAGCTTTGACCTCTCCTTTTCATTATTAGCTCTTTATTAGAGGGAATCCAGTCCCTGTTCCTTGTTCTAGAAAGCAGTTATCAAAGAGAGACTGCATCAAGCCTTTTGGTCATGTTCAGAAATATTTGCATATGCATTAAGGGAACAGTGAAAACATCTTTTAAAAGCAGTTTGCCTCTTTGGCACCAGTATTTATGGGAGAGGGGAAGGGGGTTATTGTTTTGTTTTTGCCCTTGTTTTTATTATGCATTTTGTATTTATTTGTATTTTAATGCTGTGAACCAACCTGAGCTCTATGGGTGAAGACTGTATAAATAATAATAATAATAATAATAATAATAATAATAATGTAAAGAGCACAATTTCCTTCCATGTAAATTACTTTTTTTTCTTATTGTGACCATAACTTGCAAACACAAGCTTGCAGGCAACAAAACATGTGGGCTGCTTTCCCTTCTCTGTATTTCAAACAGATTCCTCAGTGGCCTTGCAGACAACTTCATTGTCCAGAAAGTGGGAGAAGCAACAAGAGGAACAGCCATTTTAGATCTGGTCCTAACCAATGTTGATGACCTGGTTAGTGGGGTAGAAGTGGAAGGATCATTAGGCGCGAGTGATCATGCTCTTCTGAAGTTTACTATACAGCGGAAAGGAGCAGCCAAGCATACTAGGACTCAATTTCTTGACTTTAAGAAAGCCGACTTCATAAAACTTAGGGAAGTGCTGGGTGAGATCCCATGGACAGTAATACTAAAAGGAAAGGGAGTTCATGATGGCTGGGAGTTTGTTAAGAGGGAGATAGTAAAAGCACAACGTCAGGCAATACCAATGAGACGGAAACATGGAAGGTGCCTAAAGAAGCCAGGGTGGCTATCTAAAGAACTTTTAACTGAGTTAAGATTAAAAAGGATGTGTACAAAAAATGGAAAAGGGTGGAAACCACCAAAGAGTAATTCAAAAAAATAGCCAGCACGTTTAGACACAAAGTCAGAAAATCTAAAGCACAGAATGAACTCAGGCTTGCTAGAGAGGTTAAAAGCAACAAAAAAGGCTTTTATGGTTATGTTCGTAGCAAAAGGAAGAACAAAGAAACAGTGGGGTCACTCAGAGGAGAAGATGGTGAAATGCAAACAGGGGACATAGAAAGGGCTGAACTCCTCAATGCTTTCTTTGCCTCAGTCTTCTCCGATAAAGAAAACAATGCCCGACCTGAAGAATTTGGAGCAAATGATTCAGCAGAGGAAACACAGCCCAGAATAACTAAGGAGATAGTACAAGAATACTTGGCTAGTTTAGATGTATTCAAGTCTCCAGGGCCAGATGAACTGCATCCAAGCGTATTAAAAGAACTGGCAGATGTGATCTCAGAACCACTGGCAGTCATCTTTGAGAATTCCTGGAGAACAGGTGAAGTCCCGGCAGACTGGAGGAGGGCAAATGTTGTCCCTATTTTCAAAAAGGGGAAAAGAGAGGACCCAAATAATTACCGCCCAGTCAGTCTGACATCAATACCAGGGAAGATTCTGGAGCAGTTCATTAAGCAAACAGTCTGTGAGCACCTAGAAAGGAATGCTGTGATCACCAATAGTCAGCATGGATTTCTGAAAAATAAGTCATGTCAGACTAACCTGATCTCGTTTTTGACAGAATTACAAGCCTGGTAGATGAAGGGAACGCAGTGGATGTAGCCTACCTTGATCTCAGCAAGGCATTTGACAAGGTG